GTGGGTTGAGTGTCTTGCCCAAGGACACAACGACAGCGACAGACTGAGCGGGGCTCGAACCGGCAACCTTCCGATTACGGGGCGATCACTTACCTTCTGTACCACCGTCGCCCCGTTTGAGATAGCTCGTTTAATAGATTTGCTGTTGCAAAGGCTAGATGAAATTGGACTTTGTTACATTCCATCAGAGGCTGAGGAGTCACAACAAAACCTTGTCCCGTGCCTGTCTTCCTATTCTGGAAAGAGAAACATAAAGAAGCTAAAAGCCGTTTCCTGATTTGTTCTTCCTCCAGGACAAACGAGCTTCTGGCACCAAGAAAAACAAACTATGTGTTCTTCACACGTCTCAGTGAAGAATCCCTTCAAAATTCTTTCTGCTTTTCTCCCCAAACTTAAGGCTCACATTAAAAGTTTATCTCTCAATCTCTTCTTTAGAAACATTAAAGTGTCCGCTGAATCCAAAACACATCTGGAGCATCTCTTAAAATCTATCAGCTGTTGCTGGAAGACGTCTACGTTAATTCATCTGGAAAATTATGCAGAACATTTTCTGCCTGCAGGAAATAAAAATGTTTAATGACAAATTCTTGCAACGGACAAAAAGAACTTTCATAATCAGATTAAAACTCTGAGGTTAAACCTTACAATGTGTTCTAATTAAACTTTCACTTACAAAACTTAGTCTGAATCTTCAAATGTTGCCTGAAACCCAAACTAGTTCCTAAAATACAACAAAAGTCTCCACTTATTAACATCTGATTACTCTATGAAAGAATCCAGATGGCCTGCAGATGCATGCAGATCACCACCCAGAAAAAAAAAAAACCTCGAACCTCTTCAGAAGAATGAATCGGGTGACTAGAAATGATCGCTTGAGAAGTGAAATAAATCACAAATCCTAATTTATTGAACTTCAGTCCCAACTTAGTCCATTTTAGCAAAAAAAAAAAGGCCAGTTTTAGTTGTTCTGAAGTTAAACCTGATATGATCTGAAACTTGAAATCCTGAAAGTTTCCCCTTTTGTTGTTGGGGATAATTGATGTGGCCCAAAGCTTGTAAAATCCCCAGAACACCATGCAGCTGCACTGGAACATAAAAGAAATTTCCAGGAAATCTTTTCTGAAAGTCAACCAAGCCCCAGTGGGGTGTTCGAAGTCTGATTATGTTGAGAAGCATGTTCTGCCATCATTAAATGTTGTAGAGTCACAAGAATGTACTGCCTTTCACAACAAGGTCATGTTCATTTTATCTCTCCTTCCCTGGTGTCCTTCAGTTAAGTTCATTCAGCTCCACACTCAGCCCACAGTTACGGCCATTTCTAGTCGCCAGTCTTTATTTTCTCCTTTCCCCTTCTCCTTCTGTAGGTTTTTTTGACCCCCGCGCTTGCTCCCTGACCTTTCACGTTTTCCTGTTTTGTTCTGTTTACATCATTAGTATTGTTTTCCCTATCTTCTGTTATTCTTTACATAATTTATTTTAGGGATGCACCAATACCGATAAAGTTAACTGATACCAGGAACCGATACCAATGCAGTTGCTTGAAAATGGCTTCACTGTAACTTGTCGTTTCTGTTCACCTAATATTTTAGCTTTGTGATGATTTCTATTCATATATTTTACTTTTTATCTACCTCACAGTCTTTTCCTGTTGAAAGCAGAGAAGAAAATAAAATCTGTATTCCAAATCATAGCATTTTTTTGTGTGGTAGAAGTATCGGTAATCGGTATCGGCGAGTACTCAGATCCAAGTATCGGTATCGTGTCGGTTTGGAAAAATGGGGTATTGTTGCATCCCTAACTTATTTAGTTCAGCCTTGTTCTGGTTACAGCTTATTTACTGCATTCTATTTTTGTCATGTGCCGGGGTGAGTACTCCTCTCATTTTCCCTTCTTTGAGTTGTGTGTTTCAGGAGAGGGAGGCTCCAGTTGCAGCTGATTTGCATTCAGCAGGTATGGCTACAAAAGGTCTGGCTCTCATCCAAGGACATCCCGCTAAAGGCAACCTCCCGTAAGCTGTCTCCCAGGTTCATGGGTCCGTTCAAGATACTGGACATCCCTACTCCCTCCACGGTTCGGTTGGAGCTCCCACGCTCCCTTAAGGTTCACCCTGTATTTCACATGTCCTTAGTTAAGCCTGTGGTTTCCAGCCCCTTCTGACCTACGCCGGCTCCTCTGCCGCCTGCGTGGTTCTACAAGGGGGGTTTGGTTTATACAGTTCGCAGGTTTCTGGATTCTGTCATGTGCGGGGGTGAGCACTCCTCTCATTTTCCCATCTTTGAGTTGTGTGTTTCAGGAGAGGGAGGCTCCAGCTGCAGCTGATTTGCAATCAGCAGGTCTGGCTACAAAAGGAGGATGGAGAACACTCCTCGATGCTGGATGATTACTACAGCTTGGTAGTTTCCTGCCCTCTTGTGACTCTTGGATTTTGTGCTCTAGTGTTTCTAGGATTTTTTGTGAACCTTTGGATCTTTTCCCTGTGCTTACCCGTTACCAGGTTTTGGAACGTGTTTGGATTTCTGCGACTCCTCAGGATTACTCACCTGTGCCCTCATAGGATTTCCGGACGCAGCTCTCACCGTTCTCCATTCCTCCCGGCCGGCCCGCTCTCCTGCTCTCCTCTCGCTCCCTCTCCTGGACACCCCACTTGGATTCATCCCGGCACCCAACCTACCCTCCCTCATTCCTACGCTCCCTTACTCCCAGTAAGTCTATTCTCCACACCCACCAAGTTTAGACTTACCTTCCTGGACTCACCTGTATCTGCTCTCCCCTCCTCAGATGCTGTGCTCCCGTTCTCGATCTCCGCTGGCTTTTCCAGTGCATCTTCAGTTCCCGTTTAAAAATAAAGATTCCTTTTTACCATAAGATCTGTGAGTGTGTGATTCTGCATGTCTTGGGTTAAACACATTCCCCAAACCATGTCAATTTTATCCTGTTGTGTTCTTCTCCTCCTGTTGTCTGTGTTTTTCCTCCATGGTCAGTTTATTAGACACACCTGTCTTTCATCAGTCATCAGCGCACCTAATCCCTTTGTCTTCACTCACCTCCTCAGCTTTATGTTCATGGTTCCCTGTTGGTTCTTTATCTCCCCCGGTTGAAAATAAACACTTTGCGTTTTTTAACCTTACCTGGCTGCTTCCTGGATCATCTACCTGCATTTGGGCCCTTCAGCGGTCAACTTTATGACACTCGAGCTGACAGAACAGGCACAACGACTCTCAAATCCTCTGCAGAGAGACGCTAAGAAAAAACATTACAAAGAAATATAGAATTAATATATTTACATTCATGTGAGTTAATTCACAAACCCTACCAGGGGAATGTCAGGGTCAGTGTTGGTGTAGTCCACCATCTGATCCCTCATGCAGACCTTCATAGTGTAACTGATCTAGAACAAGGGATGAAACCAGGAAACTGAAAGCCATCTCATGGCTGGTTTATCCGTTTAATCCCCCAACCCGGCACCGGCTGGTAGGGTGGTGTGCTGGAAAGACTCCACCAGTTGGGAAACTCAGGATTAAACATGAAACTGAATTGAACTTTTGGGATTTTTAACAGAGGAGCTATTGAAATGTTTCTCAAGATGGAGGATTGATGTTCAAGAATGGGGGGTCCAGGTGGGTAGGAGGGGTTTTCATCCAGGTGAGTAAGGCCCAATCCCAATACTCGCACTGCGCCCTGTGGGCTTCAGCAAAATGCACTGAGAGCTTTGCATGTGTAGTGCACAAGTGTGCAAATAAATGCTGAACTGGGACAGTGACTGTTGCGTCGTTGACCATGACGCATGACTGGATGTCGGTTGCTGTTTGCGTTACGATTTTTTTTATCTTTCTTAACAAATTTCAAGTAAAAAACATTTACATTCATTACTGTTCACAATAAATCTTAGTCTAAAACATTCAGAGCACCAATAAATATGATTAATCATCTTAAAACCAACTCCTTTCATCTGAAAATACACATTTTCAGAAAAGGCACTTGGACCATTGCTCCAGCCTATTCAATTCAATTCAATTTTATTTATATAGCGCCAAATCACGACAAGAGTCGTCTCAAGGCACTTCACATAATAAAAATTCCAATTCAGGTCAGTTCATTAAGCCAATCAGAAATAATGTTTCCTATATAAGGAACCCAGCAAATTGCATCAAGTCACTGACTAGTGTCAGTGACTATACAGCAATCCTCATACTAAGCAAGCATGCAGCGACAGTGGAGAGGAAAACTCCCTTTTAACAGGAAGAAACCTCCAGAGAATCCTGGCTCAGTATAAGCAGCCATCCTCCACGACTCACTGGGGACAGACAGACACACACACACACACACACACACACACACACACACACACACACACACACACACACACACACACACACACACACACACACACACACACACACACACACACACACACACACACACACACACACACACACACACACACACACACACACACACACACACACACAAGTAATGTGTCTATAGTTATATTGTGATGTCTTAGCAAATATTCTATTTGGTGGAAGATAAACTTTACTGTACTTATTCTAGTGGATCTATAATTAAACGGATAAACTAGTAGTAGCACATCAAAAGTCAAGGAAACCAAAATGTTATTATCAGGAGAGAGAGAATGTTTAAATGGTTAGCAGCAGTGTGCTAGTCGATGGCCCCCTCCATGAGGCCACCACAGCTCAAAATTCAATTCAGCCATGGATTGTGGGTAAAACCCTTTGCCTAAGTCCGCATTGATGCAAACTTGGGGAAAGTGTGGCTCAACGATGCAAAATGTTGTTCTGCACTTGAGGATCGGGACACCCTACGCACTCGCACCCCTGGACTGGAGCGCGCAACTGAAGGGCGCAGGAGTGGAAGTGCAAGTATTGGGATTAGGAGGGGCTTTCATCCAGGTGAAACAAACAACATGAAGATTGAACCAAGAATATTTAAGAGAAAAACATTGATAAAAAATCTTATAAAAGAAAAAAAATCAGAATTAATTTTGTTCTTTATTGCTTTAATTCACTTTTATCATCATTTTTCCATTTATTTCCTCTCCATCTCCTTTCAGCTCCACCTGATTCATCACACACCTGCTTTTCGTCTCTCACAGTGACTTTTCATGTTACAGTGAAAAACTTTGATCTCCTACAGAGAAGATAAATCTGCTCCTATTGATCTCACTATTGTCTATTTTTAGACATTTCAAGTTCAAAACGCTACCAATAAAAACACGAACCCAGCGCGGGAATCTGGTAGGACGATGAAAATAAGACGAGAGAGGAGGAGGAAATATTATTTACAGGATAAAGTTTCTGTTGGTGCAGCAGAGCAGAACAGGAGATCCCTGAAAGCAACCAGGAGCAACAACCGAGGCAAAAAGAGTTGGTGACATTTTCTCAGCATTATCTTGATTTATTTTAATCTGAATATGAAATGATGTATAAAAGGAATAAAATATCAATAATTCTAAGTGTGTTTTCATAAATTTTACTGTAATCTTTAATATAAAAACATCTGATTTAAACTTATTATTTAAAGCTACAAGATTTTATTAATAACAAGAAGCAACTTTATGTTTTTACTATAAATAAAGATAAAAAGTTCTTTACAGTTTGCAGAAAATTTAATGAAAGTTGTGGGAAAGTGTTAAATATAAAATCCATCAGTTTATTGGGTCGTGAAGGTGCCAGGTCCAGGAGGAAGACCCACACCTCCCAGTTCCTCCTGGTGGATTCCAAGGTGTTCCAAGATATGTAGAGATAACAAGGAATTCAGGATCTCCTCCCAGTGCCTGGAACAACCAGGAGGCATCTGAATCAGAACCACCTCCATTTGATGAGGAGGAGCAGCAGCTTGACTCCAAGCTCCCTCCAGACGTTCTACATCTTTGGGGGTGGTCTGGTTTAGGAGCCTCAGCTCTGCTTCCAGCAGATGATGGTTCTGGTGGTTCCAGACTTTCAGCGAAATTATTATGATGAATATTGGAAATGTAATTTTATGTTTTATGAAAAAATGAACTTTTGTTTCATAGTTAGAAAAGATCAAGAGTCTGACTACAAGACAGTAAAGTGCAAAATAGTCGGCAACCTAGAGGTCAGAAACTGAAAAACAAGCAGATCAAGCTGGTTCTCTTTCAGAAGATCAAAGATCATAAAGAACCCAGAGGAGTAAAACACAGAGAGGTTCTCTGCAGGTACCACACCGATGGAACACCTGGTGGTCTCTCTACAGATGAGTTGGTCCAGTCATTCCAGTCCAGTCCAGTCCGTTATGCTAAGGTCCAGGCCGTTCTTGCTCAGTCATCTCCATGAGGAGGCTCCATTTGTTTCAGGTCCAGTTTTAAAACATTCTGAGTACTTTAGGAGATCTGGACCAGCCTCAGGTGTGAGTCTTCTTCACCTCCTGGTGACTCACTGAAAACCTCCTCATCTTCCTCCTCCCCTTCAAAGATGGCTGTCATGGGGGCAGAGAAGAAGCGGGAGGCAAAACGTCGGCTGGAGGAGCAGGGAGGCGTCAGGGAGCGAGGGCGCGTGTGAGAGGAGGAGAAGATGAAGACTGGAGAGGAAGAGGTGGAGGTAACAAGGAGGTGATCCTGGTGACTCCATCCCAACATCATAGAGATCTGACATGTAGTAGTGTCAGGGAGGTCAGGGGTCAGCGGATTCCCGGTGTTCTCCCGGATCTGGGAGGGGTGAACTGCTCCTAACTGGTGTGTTGCTGGAGGAGAGGATCTCTGGAGATCAGCAGGAGGAGCCTGGAGGACGCAAAGTCGCTCCACCGCAGAGATTTGCGATGAAGAATTGATCTGACTCCCCTTCCTCAGGAGGAGCGCCTTGAAGCTCTCACTCCTCGCTGATCTTCGACTCCTGAAAGCTGGAGGTCGGATCAGCTGGGACGGGGGTTCGGGGGGAGTCTCCAAAGGCGAGGAGGAGGAGACAACGTGTTTCTCTTCTTCTAAACCTCTTCTCCCAAGCATCTTCCGCTTTGATCTGAGACAAACGAGATGTTGTGTGAAGTTAAAAAGGAGAAAAACCTTCAGCACGGCGGTGGGTTCAAAGGTCAAAGTTAATCCCGTACGTCTCCTCGGTTTTTATAAGTCAACCAATCAGTGCAATATTTTCTTTTTTATTTAAGGTCATTTTAAAAGTAAAACTAAAAACCGGTCCTCGTTTATTTATAAGTAAACATTATTTATGAGTAAAATGCTCTTTAATCTGAATAAAACGTTCACTTTTATATAGAAACTCACTTCTACTAGTTAAAATGAATAACTGCTACATAGTGAATCACAATTAAGTCTTCACATATCAATATTTTGAGTTAACGAGTTACTTTTTAAGTCACATTTAAAACATACTAAGTTACAAGGTCACAGGGTACAAAAGGAGGAAAGGAGACAACAAAGTTGTTATAGGATAAAAAAAAACTTACAGAAGGATTCAAAACAAGAAAGTGGAGTCGGGTTTAAGGATCCAGGAGTGAAACTCTACCTCCTACAGCTACTGATGTTTTACCTGCAGCCACACCTGATTACAAGGAGTTCACGCTGTGCCTTCCCATACTGCACTGCTCCAGAGGCAGAGGGGGGACCAAGCAGATGAGTGAGGATGATGACTGTTAGACTAAAGGTGATCTGGGCGGGTTTCTGGGCTCCTACCTGTGAATGATGGCAAACAGATCCTCTGTGGTCCGAGGGCGAGCCGAGACCAACATCTGATCTGCTGAAACACCGACGAACACATCAGCTGTAAGACACACACACAGACGTGTTTATTTTATTTTAAATCAACGATCTGAGCAAAAGCGGTCAGACGCTGAGAGGATGGTTATTTTTTGAACACAGACAAGACCAGAACATTTGAACTGGGTACAACAATGTGGAGAAGTTCTGGGTTACGGATGAAAGAGTCTGGTGGTCCATATCTGGATCCAGGAAAAAGGATCATCACAGACACCAGTGGTCCAGTTTCTTTGGATTGGACCATTTTTTGTAGCGTGGGGGACGAGTGGTTCTAATGTTTTGTCAGTCAGGTGTCAGAACGTTTCTAAGTTAGGTTGGAGAACCAGAGAACACCCCCTAAAGGTTTTTACCTTGGGCCCAGACTTTAGCATCAGATCTAGAACTGCGTCCACATGAAGACACCGTCTCGAGTCTCCTAAACCCTGTCCCAGTGTGGACAACGACTTGATCTGATGAACCCCACTCACCATCTGAAGGTCTTCTGGATTCCTCGTCTCTCCTCTGGGCTTCGTTGTCCCCCTCTTCGTGTTCTGGTTCTTTAATCCTAAGGTCGGGCAGCGACAGCTCCTCCTGCAGGCTATCGGTGGACTGGACACTGCTCAGGGACAACCTGCTCCGACCAATCAGAGAGCAGGAGCTTTCGGAGTCACTTGTCTCTTCATGACACCTTCTGATACGTCTCAGCCTCTCATTCCTGTCTCTTTTCACATCGTGCTCATCTTCTGATGAGGATGAAGATGATGATGATGAAGATGATGATGAGGATGATGATAAGGGAGCGGGCTCCATTTTTGATGACATCATCAGCGTTTGTCTGCCCAGCCTCCTCTTTCTTCTCTTCTTTACTTTGTTTGTTTTGTTGGACACCACCATCACGGCTGTCATAGTCCCTTGCTCTTCCACCCATCGCTGCTCATTTTCCTCTTCATCTTCAGCCAATGAAGACCTCATCATCCTCCTATGAGAAGTCTTCCCCTCATCCAGAAGTTTGGTCTCTACAATTCTCCCACAGGACAGATCTCCTCTGGTCCAGATGGAAGAAGGTTTATGATCCATTCCTGTGAACCCTGATGGGTTTTGGGTCTCGTGGGTACCCATGGTCTCTAACGTCTCCGTGTGTCTAGCTCTTGTTGTTCCCGTGGTATTCATATTGTCCCTGATTCCAGTGGAAGTCAGAGTTGGAGACGCACCGCTGGTCTCTGTGGTCCATCTGAAAGCCTCTCCTGCGGTTTTAGATGTGAGGAGCATCTTTTCTGTTTTGAGGTAGGTCACTGAACCATCTGGCTTCTGCAGAATCTGTGGTTTCTGCTTCACAGGCGAGCTGGTAGGTGAGTCTGTGGAGCTCGCCGAACTTCTGGGCGTTGCTGATTTGTTGGAAGTGCTTGGCGAGTGCTTTGGAGATGGTTGACCATTAGTCAAACAGGTGTATGAAGTCGTGTAGAAGGAACTAATGGGAAGCTGTGTTTGGCTGGTCAGCTCAGGAGAAGGCCCTGGTTCTGTTCCGACCTTGGGGGGTGCAGAGAGACCAAGAAGGTTCAGATCAGGTTTCTTTGGTGGAACTGGTTTCTTTGGGGAGCAGGACCTCCCTGGACTACTTGACTTCACATAAGAAAATGTTGAACCTCCATCAGCTGAAGCCTGATTTTGTGATTTCTTGGCTTCTCCTTCTCTTTTCCGTTGCTTTTCTCTCCGTTGCTCTTCAGGATCTTTAATCTCAGCTCCCACCAGGGGTCGTTCGGGAAGAGGAACCTGAACATTGGGGCCAACATGAAAATAATCAGCATCTTGACCCATTTTCACCCAGGGACAATCAGGACTGCAAACCTGAACATTCAGCAGAGTGGAAAACATAACTTCCTCCTGCTGTCGTCCTGTGGATTTGGTATTTTGCGACATCTCTTTGTTACTCTGGTCTTCCTGGTTAGCTGAGCCTTGGCGGTTAGCATCAGCTGACTCATGAACTCCATTCCAGGTCTCGGGTTTTATTTTGTTGGGTTTCTGGTGTTTGATCTTGACGCTGACTGGATTAGTCTCTAGAGGACTTGCTTCACTGCCAGCCACGATGCAGATCCCATCTTCTACTGTTGGTCCTGAAAGCTTAGAATCTTGATGAGTTTCCTCCTGTTCAACAAAGTCCACTTGAGCATCTTCAGTCTTGTTAGCATTTTCAATGGAGATGCGAACCCCTGTTAGATAACTGGTGTCAATCGGGTCACTGACTTGTCGTAAGACTTCCCGGTTCCTAACAGAACGGAGCTTGGTGCTCTGCAAAGCTCCAGAGGTGATTAGGAGAGAGGGAGGCCTCTGAGAGATACCAAGGAGGGAGGGAAGAGGAGGAGGTGGTGGTGGAGGTGGAGGAAGGTCAGATGGGGAGGGAAGATTGGGATTAGATGGTGTAGATGCTCTGGAAACCAGCGTATGATGGGAACTCCGTTTTACAGCATAGGAGTAGGGTGGAGGAGGGGGTCGAGCAGAGGGGGGTAGAGGAGGTGGTGCAGGGAGAGATAAATCTGGAGCAAGAAGCGGAGAAGGAGGAGGATTTTTGTTAAAAGATAGAGGAGGGAGGGGAGGAGCAGAGGGAGGAGAAATGCAAGAGGCAAACTGTGGAAGAGGAGGTGGAGGTACGGGTGAAGGAAGGTTTGAGGTAGCCGGTTCAGGAGCAGGAGTATTATGTTGTGGAAGAGGAGGAGGAGGTGGTAGAGGTGGAGGCATGGGAAGAGTAGATTTTGGAGGAGCAGAAAGAGAAGGGGGAGGGGGTGGTGGAGGAAGAGTAGGAATATGCCTGGCTAAAGAGTCAGAGGATGTGTAAGAGGAAAGGGAGGAAGTGGATGAAAATGAGGAGGAAAGGGAGGAGAGGAGTGATGACTTTCTTTGTGGGACTGGAGGTTTGGGCCTTCCTTCACCACGAGATCTGGTCCTGGGAAGAGAGGAGGTGTTGAGAGGCAAAGGGAAGGACGATGAACATGGAGTAAAGAAGGGGGAGGTCGGAGGCAGGGAGAAGGCTCCAGGGGAGGAGGGGCTGAGAGGAGAAGACACGGGAGTTCCAGGAGTAGGAGTGTTGGACTGGCTGGAGTAGCCGCTGGAGGGAGAGGCAAGGTGGTGATACCCAGACACAGAGGAGTCAGGAGTCGGCTGGTGCAGACTGAGTGTCAGATTTTCACCCTTTAGACCAGGAGATCCAGGGAGGAGAACGTGGAGGTGATCAGGGCTTGTCGGGTCGGTGTTGGATGTGGAGTCAACAGAAGGTTCTGAGTTAGGGTTTGGATCTAAAGGCTCAAAAGTTGAGACCGTCCCACAGTTCAGACTACTCTGCCTTCTTTTGATGCTTCGGGGAACCCAGGGGTCGCTGAACGTTTGGGGAGGTTGGGTGGGAGTGTGTACGCTGGTGTGATTCACTCGAGGGCTGCGGTCCAGACGAGGACTTGGTGAAGACCTGCAGGCTTTGCTGCGACCAGACCGGCGCCTCAGAGAGTCCAGACGTGTTGGTGGAGGAGGCGGATGCTTACACTTCCGTAGAGAGATGCTGCGAGCGACAGAGCGGGAGTACAGCGAGGAGGTGCTGGACTTCCTTTTCTCTTGGGGAGAGAAGTTTATCTTCTCTGAAAAAAGGAAGGCGCCGTCAGGGCAGGAGGGGGTGGAGCGGCCAGAGAAGATGAGAGGATCACAGTTCCAGCCCTCTTCTGAGGAACATCTGGTATCCTGAGTGATGCTGCTGTGGATGCTGGAGCTGGAGGAGAGAGCCTGGTAGCTCCACCCCTCCTCGTTTCTGGAGTCACCATCATAAAAGCTCTGGGAAGTCCTCTGGATGAAGGTCTGGATGTCGGGAACTCCGTGACTAACTGAATCAGTGATAGAGGAGGAGGAGGAGAGGCAGTGGGAGGGGGAGGGTGGAGCTTCATTGAAGGGAACACTGTTGAGATAAGACCACTCTGATGGGAGGGAGGAGCTGGCTGGGGAGGAAGAAGGAGACTGAGGTTCCACTCTGGCACTGGGGTCAAAGGGCAGCAGGGGCTGAAGGTCGCTAGGGAAACCCTGTAGATCCTGAGACTGGACAGACAAGAGACAGAAAAGGGACATAAATCAGATTTTAAATCTTGTTTCGGTTCTGTTAACGTGTCAAAAGTTTCCTGAACTGACTTGGCTGGATGAGGAGGTGCTGAGTGTCCTGTAGGAGGCGCTGTTATAGCTGACCTCAGTGCTCAGGGAGGAGTTGGTGGCCAGACGGGGGAGGCTGTAGACCTCAGAGGAGGAGACATGATGCTTGTTGACACGAGGGGAGGAGGTGAGGGAGGCCATGAGGCTGGACAAGCCCTCTCCTCTTGGAGCCCGAATCTTCCTCACGGACATCTGCGCCTCCTTCAGGAGATTTGCCCTGTCCTCTGTGTCCTCCTGCTTGTTTTGGGATTCCTGTGAGGAGGTGCAGGATAAGGAGGTGGATCGGCCCACTGTGGAGAACTGACCAGGGAGAACCACAGAGGCCGGAGACTTGGGAATGACATCATCTGGTGTCTCAGAGACGGTTTTTCGGCGACTCAGTTTACGAGGTCGTCGACTCAGCGAGTCAGAATTGGAGAGGGTTCTCCGAAAGCTGGCCTGGCGATCAAAACTTTCCCCTTAAACGAGAAACAACAAACACAAGAGTAAACTAGTTATGTAATCTATACTCTAGTCTAGTCAGAAGCTATCATCTCTGGAAGCAGCTCTACCTGTTACATTGATGGGAACTATATCCGCTCCAATCGCCTCTGCCTGCTGCCTCATCCTCTCCTCTGGCGTCGGAAGTCGCAGAAGTAGGTCAGTTTCCATGACAACAGCCGAGTCATCGGTTTGTGAAGAATCCTCCCAACAGGAGGTGAGACCAACAGGGTTCAGGACCAGAGGGGTCATAGGTCGAGTGTTGGTCAGGAAGAACTTATCATCTTCATCTGAAGACGCTGAAGACTGATAAAGGAAATCAACAATGAATAGAACTAGGAGCAGGTTAGACTCGTGTAATCTGTTAGGGACTCTATAGGGTCTACGGTAGAGAAGCTGGGCCATGTTTACCTTTCTCCTCCAAAATGAAAACCTGAAACAAACTGAAAAACAAGAACGAGAGAAAAGGGCCAAGATTCTGGTCCACTAAGGAACGAGGGGTGGATAAAGAGTGAGAGGGTGTAATAAAAATGAGCAAAAGGTGATTTCAGGATCAGCTCAGGGCAAACAGAGCAGGTCAGTACATCAGGTAAACCAGCAGGGGGCGGTAAATGTAAGTAGCATACAGAATGAAACGGTAAAGGGATCAGAAGTAGCCTGACGATAATAAAAACTAGAAGAAACAACACAAAAAAATACTAAAGCAAAATAAAACATTCTAAATGGAAAAAAATACACATGAAGATGACACTTTACAATAAGGATCCCATCATTAACATTACTTAAGGGAATATTAAGCATAAATAAAGTATTAAATGATATTATGTAATGTATTATTAAGCAGACACCACCGCCCTGGCCCTTTGTCCTAACTTTAAGGTCGCTTAATAGTCACTATTATCGGGAACATTAAAAAGGGATCTTTTGTTTATTAATGCTTAATAATGCACCAAGTAACATTAATACGGAACCTTTATTGTGAAGTGTTAGCAAATGGATAAACAGATTTCTAAAGGTCACACAGTAACTATACATGAAGACCTAAAACTAAAACCTTTCACATGTGTGAACATACAGCAGATAATAAAAATATCGGAAAATTATTTAGATTTAAATGAGAAGCACAAACAAAAATGAAGTCAGATACAGAAAGTTGTAGTTCAGACATTTGGAAGAGGGATTCTGTCAAACGTTTCTTAACCTGTTGTAGAAAACACCTGGAACAACCTCAGTTTGGAGAAACAAATAATAATAATAATAATAATAATAATAATAATAATAATAATAATTTGACTTTACCAAGAGGACCAAAAGGGAGGCAAAGAAATGGGCCCAAAAGAGGATGAGAGAAACATGGGAGGAAAAACCAGTGCATGGACAATACCCCTTGAGAGTAACAAAGGCAGACGTAGAACAAGACCATACTCATCAGTGGCTACGCAGTGCAGGACTGAAGGCAGAAACTGAAGGATTGTTGATAGCAGCACAAGACCAGAGCCTGTCAACACGATCATGCCACCACAAGATCATGAAAGATGGAACAGACCCAGTGTGTAGAATGTGCAGCCAATATGAAGAAACCATTGACCACATTCTCTCAGGCTGCCCCACTCTAGCCAGAACTGAGTACATCCACAGACATGACAGGGCAGCAAGCAGTATCCACTGGAAGATCTGCAAGCATTTCCATCTACCAGCTGCAGATAAGTGGTGTGAACACCAACCACCAATACTGAAAACAACAACATCACAGTGTTGTGGGACATGCCAATCAACACAGACAGAGAAATCATGGCCAACAGACCAGACATAATCATCAAAAACACAGAAGAGAAGACCTGCCTCATGATTGACATGACCATCCCATCTGAAAAAAAACGTCACCACCAAGGAGCTTGAAAAGCTATCAAAGTACAAGGACCTGGAAATAGAAGTCACAAGAATGTGGGGGATGCCCGTCGTAGTGGGTGCACTTGGCCTCATCACGAAGGAACTGGAAAAGAGAACAAAACAGATTCCTGGAAACCCAACAGTCCAAGAAATCCAGAAGATTGTTCTTCTCGGAAGTGCCCACATCATCAGAAGGACGCTTTCCATAAACTAACCCTAAAACTGCCTTAGAAGCATGGATCGATTCTGCCACTTCAGTGAAAGCATACAAATATACAAAAAATATACTAATAATCAATCAATCAATCAATACTTAGTATAATAATAATAATAATAATAATAATAATAATAATAATAATAATAATAACAATAATAATAACATTAATATTATTTTTGTTAGCTTCTGTATCATTTCTGGTTGGAATTTTAGTATTATTATTATTATTATTATTAGCTTCTGTATCATTTCTGGTTGGAATTTTATTATTATTATTATTATTATTATTATTATTATTATTATTATTATTAGCTTCTGTAGCATTTCGTTGAACAGAACTGAGTTCTGTGCTTCTCCAAACTGAGGTTGCTCAGAGAGCTGTCTCACCTTCCACCAACACGATGAGAACAAGTGTGTTTTGATGAAACTCAGGAGGTTTACATGAGATTTCACAGGACTTGTGATTTTAAAGAAAACAAGAAACCAAACAATCATCACTTCACGTTTCATCGGCATCTCATTTCTCTCACCATCTTCCCGCTTCGGTCCCGCCACCTCCTGCGTGTGCTGCCCTCTGATTGGTTGAGGCCAGAGGCTGGGGAGAAGGTGGGGCTCTGTGGGAGGGGCTGAGAGTGTCCATGCTGAGTCAGTCCGTAACACTCTACAGATACACAAAGAGGGAAGTGATGCAGCTGAGTGGAGAGCTTACAGATGGATCAGTCTGACTGTTTAGGACTGAAATCTTTGCCTGAACCAGGAGAAAAGTGATCAATAATCAATCTGTTTCTCCTCCTGATGAATGAATCCAGCGTGAAATCACAGAGGCAGCAGCTGTGTCCTTGTAAGTGATGAGGGTGCAGGGTCTGCTGCAGACTGCAGCAGAATGTGGTGCATGAAGCCCCTGCAGCCCACTGCAGTCCAGCTGCAGCACTCGTCACACAGATGGTTTCACTGATCAGACCTGGAGACGTTTCATAGAAACATCTCCTGGAAAAGCTTCTATCAAAGAGGAAAGAGAAGCACTTCGCTGAGGGCCTAATTTATTTAGATGTCACTAGAAAGGAGCTCTTCATATTTTTGTAGCTTTGCATTTGGTTGATTTTTCTCTTGTGTTTTGCATTTGGTTGATTTTTCTCTTGTGTTTTGATCTTCTAGCTGAATCTGTTAGCGAGATCTTGTGTGGCTTTAATCAGAGAAATCCCAAACAGTCAACATCTTTGATAACTCACAACCTCAGTGTAGAGAAACAGAGATTGTTTCTGATGCATTTCAGGATGGCAGTTTTTGGCCTTGGCTGCACTCAGGCTAGCCAGTTAGCATGGCTGCCTGTTCAGAGCTAATTTCTATTTCTGGAAACTGAGGCTGTTCAAAGAGCTCCCTGTGTCTGTTCATTATTGTTTACTGACACGTATCTTTAAACATCAGAACTACTGCTTTACACCTGACCTCTGAATTATTCATGTAATAATAAATATCTAATATCTAAGTAATATCTAAACAGGTGCATATGTACCAGGGCCCCTGAGCCCTGGGGGGCCCAGAGCAGACACAGAGGTGATGCTTAGCACGGGGGCTAAAGCCCAGCTCAACCGTGCTACACCATTAGATCCAGACATCCCGAAGCTGTCAGTTCCCACTTAAGTTCTTGTCAGGGATATAATAACTTTGTTATTTGTTGTTTGTCTGCAGCCGCCTCACCTCGCAGGTCATCAGCGCTGCCCGATCTTCTCTTGCTGGGAATGAAGCGCAGTCCATGCTGGGGTTTCTGGGTAGTGTAGTGAACGGACCACCTATTGTCCCCGTCCCCTGCTGAAGAGAGACACACGGAGAGAGAAATTTAGCACGAAGCTGCTTTCAGCTTTTAACCTCGTTTCAGCAAATCTGTTCACACAGAGGGCAGCAGAGATGGAGGAAGCTGCAGCTCTCAGCACTCCTCAAGGTGACTTCAGCTCTCTGCTTCGAGGCTTTTATTGTTAAGGAGCAGCAGCTTCATCTGATGAGCCTCGAATAAAGAGAAGAACCGTAGAATCTGTCGGTCTTCATTTTAATTTGACCAAATCAGAGTTGCTACAGTAAAAGCAAAAATCAGATTAAAGTGAAAATGTTCAACAATCTGGATCAAGATGAAAACTTTGATCTGTTCTCCTGAGGTTTCTGGGATTCTTGATGGGGTCTGTCTGAAAGTCATTACACAGTATCGTCTGATTCCCGAAGGTGACATTATCTTGTTGTGTGGAGTGGGGTTCTGAAATGATCCTTAAGGAGTTTGTCCTAAATCCAGGAGGAGACCTCGGTTAGTCTGCTCCAGAAATCAGAAAACGTATCGTGAGAATCTTTAACCTACAGCATCAAGAAGGTTCTGAGGTTTTGACTGAGACCAGAGGCCACAGAACATGGAGGGCAGCTTGGACAGGTCTGAGGAAGCCCAGAAAGCAAAACCTTATGTTTATGGCTCTGAGGTTATCTGATCTGCACCTGGTAGGTCAGATAGTTCTTCTGCATGTTTTAAAGGATCCTCAGGTGGTTCTGTTTTTCGAAACTGGTTTTTAAGTGTCTTAACGGTCTTGGGCCTTCTTATCTCTCAGAACTGTTTTTACCGTATGAACCCTCACGGCCTCTGCGCTCTGGCAGGCGTCTCCTGGTCATCCCTAAAGTCCCTAAAGTCAGAACACACACTCACGGCGAGGCGTCCTTCCAGTGCTATGGCCCTCGCCTTTGGAACGAGCTGCCGGAGGACCTCAGGGCTGCAGAGAACGTTCATGTTTCTAAGTCCAGGCTCAAGACCCGTCTATTTAGGTTAGCTTTTATCTAAATATTTACCACAGTTTTATTATTTAATATTATTATTTTACTGTCTATATGATTTTATTTATTACTTATTTTCTAACTTTTGTCCCTTATATTAGCTCTTTTATTATATTTTTACTCATTTTAATCCAGTGTTTCCTCTGTAGGGGCCCTCTGCCCCGGGAGCGGTGGTCGACTGTAGTTTCCTGGGTGCTCTATAGGTGGGGGTCTATGCTCCCCCTCCACTGAGCGCCCTGACTTAGTGCGGAAGACCTGATGCTGCCGGGGCAGACGGCTCCTCTGATGGCGTTTCCTTGCCTTACCTTACCTGGCTCATCTGGACTCAGCCAAATATAATTTTTACTTGTGTGTGTGTGTGTGTGAGTGCGTGCGTGCGTGCGTGTGTGTGCTTGCATATGTCTGTTAATGTTTTTAACCTGTTATGGGAATCTGGGGTCATTTTGTAAAGCACTTTGAGTAGCACTTTGTTTGAAAAGCGCTTTATAAATAAATCTGATTGATTGATTGATTGATTGATTGATTGATTGATTGATTGATGAGGGAGCAGAAATCTTACAAAGTATCAACTCTGAGAATAAACAAACCTCAAAGGATTCTTCTAAATCTGATTCTGATCCAAGCAGCAGAGCCTGAAGTAAACAAACATCTGGAATAAACAACCTCTACACAATTATTTTGTCATCATCTGGAAATGCCTAAACGACATCTCTAGATTTTGTTTTATTGTTGATTGTTGGAGGTCATCTCAAACACCAGAAGAACCAAAGGATCCATAAAGAGAGATGTGTTTTTTTCCAGCTGAATCAAAAGGAGAATCTCAAACTGGGTCCACTAAAATCTCTACCCTGCAAACAGTCAGCGTTGCACGGAGGCACGTGAGTCCGCATTGCACAGTGGGTAGAGTCTTTAAAAGGCTCCCAGAGACCTGAGAGGGGAGTCCTTCCACTAGATTTCATTATTAGACTGTTTTTCCTTCAGGGTAGCGGTAGATTGCTGCTGGAGTCCTAGAAACAGTTAACTGTGACCTTCCTGTAATTTCAGGCTAATCAGAACATCCAGGTGAAACTGCTGACCGGAACGGTTTGATTTAAATGAATATAAACCTGACAACCAATCAGAAACCAGAATTGCATGAGGTCATCATTAGAAATCTAGGTCTAAATCAACCCTGATTTACCCCTCATCGATACAGCAGCACCTACCTGAGGTCTTCCTGAGGTACCTGAGGACAGATTTGATCGCCGCTGCAATCAGAACCATCACAACGCCACTCACACACACTCTCACACACACTCTCACACACACACAGACTCCAGAGGCTGCAGCAGAGAGGAGCCAAGTGGGCGAACAGCAGCAGAAATGCAGCTTGGCTCTCTGCGACGCTGCTCTCCTCCTACTCCTCCTGCTCCTC